AAAAAAAAAAAAAAAAAGACCCAGAAATGGGGCTCATTGTACTGAGTTTGTGGGGATCTTGTGATGTGCTCAAAAGAGTTGGGACATACTCTCAGGGTCCCAACAGAGACAATATATGAATAAAAATTGTGGGGCACTGACAGTGGGTCAGTGGTCACAGGCATCACTTTCTGGGTTGTAACAGGGATGACAGGTTGGAATCCCATAAGCAAACTCAAATGGAAATGGCATAAAAAAAAATCATGATCTTTGGGCAACTTGGCAACAAATTTTCACCCAGCCACTGAGATTATGACATGGAAATTGGGGGGTGGTGACTCTATCACAAATTCAGGACTCAGACTGCAAGGCAGATACACAAATGAGGTCAGGAGGGTGACAGTGGGGACAGGACCTGGTGATTGAGCTTATGGAAGGAATGGAGAAGACAGGCTGGGGATGAGACAGGGCAGGAACAAAAATGGGGAGACGACAGTGGCCATGGGTCCTCAAAGTGATTATAACACAGTCAGGAATGCAAGACCCAGGAAGGTCACAACACAGACACAAAAACAACTGTTATAGATGTGGGTATTGTGGGCCAGGAAGTGATGTGACCAAGAGGATTGTGACACTGATAAGGCATGACCCAGAAAGGATGTATAGAGATAGTGAGATTATCACCCAGATAAGGTCATGACCCCCCCAAATGCATATGTGATCAGGATATACGGTCCTGATCTGGACAAGCAGGTCATGACCTAGGCAAGGCCTTGATGTGAATAATATAATCTAAACAGTAACACAGACAAGGTAGTGACCTAGATGATAAGGTCCTAACCTTGTTGAAGAGACTGTGACACAGGCAGGGAAACAGGTGAGTGTCAAAATGCCCACCTGGGGCTTTAACTTCCCAGGATGGACCCAAGGGGAGGATACACAGACTGTAACACATACAGGTACAACCCAGCCCACTATGTGCAGCCAGCTGCCCCCCCAGGTCACCTGTAAGATCTGATCTCCCTCCTGGATGCCCTGTCCATCAGCTGGGCTGCCCGCCTGTACCCCTGACACGAAGATGCCCACATCATTGCCTCCAGCCAGACGCAGCCCAATGCTTGTGCCCTTGGGGAAGCGGACCACCCTTGTGTCAGGGCTGTACCTGCAAGGGGAGGCAGATGTGGGGTCAGGTCAGAGTGGGTGGGAGAGGGAGCATGCTGAGAATCTCTGGGAAAGGCCCAGTTTTCCCATGTGGAGGTACCATTTAACACACTGAACAAGGCAGAATTACGCTGACTGAGGACACAGCCCTGGGATGTGAGTGTTGAGCTAGTGGGCTTTGTTCTAGGTACATACCCACGATCCTCCATGCTCTGACCACTGGGCACCCTGGAGATGTCATAGCTGCTTCCCCTGGGTGAGTCTGAAAGGGAAAACCTGTCTTTTTCCCAAGCACGCTAACTAGGTCCAGCCTTCAAACCTTCATTTTAGGGGGTCCTGCCTCTCAGAGTATCATCACCCACCTCTATTCCTTCTCAGGAAAGACTGGCTGACCTCTTAGGCTCATTCCAACCTCCCGCCACTCTGCCTGGTACAACCTTGCTGGCAGGGATTATAAAAATCAGGGAGAGGTGCTCAGAGTCACCCTGCACCTGCCCTTTGCTCACCTGGTTCTGAGACAGTTCTAGAATCCAGTGACCTTCCCCGTCGAGGCTGGGGGCTCTCTCTAGAGGGGAACAGATTCAGAGTAAGGCAAGAGCAGATGTTAAGGGGTGATTTAAAAACAAGTTTGTGGCTTGGCGCCTGTG